GTGATGAATTATATTTATAGATTTACGTATGTTGAACCATCCTTGAGATCCTGGGATAAAACCCACTTGGTCGTGGTGTATGATTTGTTTGATTGTGTTGCTGGATTCTGTTGGTTAGGATCTTATTGAATATTTTCGCGTCAATGTTCATTAGTGATATTGGTCTATAATTTTCTTTTCTTGTTGGGTCTTTTCCTGGTGCACCACCAGCTCTTGGAGACTTTTATTCTTCCCCTCCAATGTTACAGGTTCCTCTGTTTTGAAGTGTGTTATGGGGAAGGCTGAATTGTCCTCATCCAGACTTTTCAACAGATGGGCCCCTGGTGCTCTCCCTTCCTCACCTTTGATACTTGAGTTCTGGCCAATTATCTTGCTCCTGCCATCTCCCTTCTCAGGGAGCTGTTGTGCGGGAAGCCGGTCAGTGAAGTCTGCAGCCAGGGAACCTGGGATCCCTGTCTCCAGGGACTTTCTCTTTTCGCCTCCTACTCTGGATGCCTGTGCCTTGGGGTGACCACTGGACTGCACAGCTGCACCTGGGCCTTTGGTACCTGAGCCTTGACTCTTGTGTTCTCCTCTGGTGGGCTGTTGCTGTCCCCTCATGAGCTGCACAGTCTCTCTGCTGACTGCTAGCACCCTTGCCTCCTGAGCCTTGCTCCTTTGGCCAATGCTCCCTGTTTCTGGGCATCTGGGTTACTGTGACCTCCTCATGCAGGCTTTCCCTGTGGATCTACTTGCCTCTGGGACTCCCCTTCTACAGGTGCTTCTCCCGTCTGTGAACTGTGGTGGCTTTTCTCTGGAGCCAGGCTGCAGGGAGTTTTGGAAGACCCCTCATCATTCTGTATGACTGGCAACTCGGGATGCTCCCTCAGGAAATGGTCAACTTCCTTGACTGGCTTGTTATGCATCTTGGTGACCGTGCTGCCTTCTCCTGCAGACTGGTTCTCACGTGGGGCCAACTCTTGTGTTGTCTGTCTTGCTCCCGGCACTCCTTCTGCTGCAGCCTCACTCTTGCTGTACCTTCCACAGTGGGTCTTCCCTCTTCTCCTGGGGCTACTGCTCCTTCAATTTCAGGGTGATTCTGATCTGCTCCCTCTGAGGTTAGACCTTTTGTCTCAGAAACTTTTACAGCATCATTTTGTTTTAATAATTCCTGGAGTTCCTGATATTCCTCACTCTGTGTTTGGGATTCCAGGGCCAGTGGCTGATTTTTTCTGTCACTTTCTTTCTGCCTTGCTGTTCCACAGGCCTCAGGACCTCTCCCCTCTTTCCTTTCAGTGCTCATGTCAGGTATTTCTGAAATACATCTGCTACCGCCTTGGACTGGGGGCAGGTCCTCTGTTTCATGTTCTTTGTTTTGTGCTGGTGATTCTTGGGCCTCGGATATTTCGCCATTGTCCTCAGGTTCATCCGCATTCCTTGTCTCAGGCGGTGTCCTGTCAGCATCCTCTCCTGCTTCATCCTCTCCTGCTTCATCCTCTCCCGCTTCTGGAGTCTCAAGTGTTCTATAGTCATCCTTGGCTTCAGTTGGTCTGCCCATCTAAGATGGTTTCCTGGGAGTAGCTTGCTCTAGCAGGTAAGCATACTGTGACCTGGGCTCATCTTCTTGCAGGAGTGGCGCTTGTATTTTAGAGTATTTCTTTTTTTTCTTTTTCGCCCTTGGTAGAGTGCAGCGGAGTTGCTCCAGCAACCTCCAACTCCTGGGCTTAGGTGATTCTTCTGCCTCAGACTCCAAAGAGCTGGGACTACAGGTGCCTGCCACAACGCCTGGCTATTTTCTGTTGCAGTTTGGCCGGGGCTGGGTTTGAACCCGCCACCCTCGGTATATGGGGCTGGCGCCCCACTCACTGAGCCACAGGCGCCTCCCTAGAGTATTTCTTAATACTCTTTGCTGTTCTAACTTCACGTGGTCTCTGTGTTGCTTCTTCTGGTGAAGAACTTTGGGTTCTCAAGTTTCCTTCCTGTTCTCCAAACTGGTCTCTTCTCTTTGTGCTACTTTGTTCCCTGGCTGTTCATCTCCCTCCCCGGGGATCCCCTCATCCTGTCCCTTTCTTTTTGTGTGACTGCTGGTTTGTTCTAATACTGCCATTGACTTATTAGTCTTAAGTTGGGCTCCATTTCTTCTGTTATTGCTACATCTTGGCCACTTCCTGGCACTGTTTATCTCCTTCCAGGTGTGGGTTCTGAGGGTCACTGTGCTCAGATGCTTCTCCTGACAGGTGGTGAGTCTTGGCATCTCCTCATGAGTCTACCCTATTGTGTCCAACTGCTCCATTTTCTTTGGAGCTGAGATGAGATGATGATGCCATTCCTGAAGGAAGCCTTGCATTTTCTTGAGGTGGCAAAGATTCCACTCTCTCGGCCGTTTAATGTGGTCTCCTGAAGATCCACGTCATCTAGCTTCTCCTTCTCTGGCTTGGATCTGTTTTAGCTCTGAATTTAGTAATGGTTGTTCATCAAGATAACAGAAGTTCAGCAAGTTGAAGAATGCAAGAGCAAATTCACCAAAACTGATGGCAGCATTACCATCAATATCCAGAAGATTCAAGTTTCTTTCCACAGCATGGAAGATACACAGCTGCATGAAAGCACAGTGAGAAATCACTTTGTTCATATGTGGCCAAGAGTCCTGACCTGAATGTCTCACAGGAATCCTATTTTTTTTTTTTTACCACATTCCTCAGAAACTGGTTATATTTCTGCATGAAGTTAGAATTCATTGGCTTGTATACCATTTTTCATTAGAGAGCTATGACTGAGAAGTGGCATTTATATCACTTGTAAGTTGCATTTAGATGCATAATGGTTTGTGACTCCTCTCAAAAGTCTACTTTGTGGGAGCAATAGTCCCAGGGATAAAAACTCCATTTTCTACCCAGAAGAAAAAGAAATCCTTTTATGGTAAGTCTGCTTACACTAGACTATTTATTGCAGCTCAATTTACAATCACCAAAATGTGGAAACAGCCTAAAAACCCACCAACCCAGGAATGCATTAACAAACTGTGGTGTGTGTATATCATGGAATACAATTCAGCCATTAAAAAGATGGAGATTTTACATCTTTTGTATTAACCTGGCAGAGTTGGAATACATTCTTCTTAGTAAAGTATAACAAGAATGCAGAAGCAAGAATCCAATGTACTCAATTGTAATATGAAGCTAGTAGACAATCTAATGCACGAGCACAAAGAGAAAGACTCAAATCAATTCAAGGTCAGGGCAGGGGAATGAGGGAGTGGGGAGAAGGGAGGAGGGAAGGGAAATGACCACAATGTTAGTGTGTATGGTACACTTCTTAGGGGTGGGACACAATTGTAAGAGCAACCTTACCTAACAAAAGCAAATATTGTAACCTAATTCTTTGTACTCTTAATTACTCTGAAACAATTAAAAAAAAAAAAAGAAAAAACCCCTCCATTTTCTGTGTAAGATTTGCTACCCAATGCATGGAGCAGGGAACAGAGGCTAAAAAAAGTTGAAAAGTCATTGAGTTCTGAGAGCCAGTAGCCCAATTGTAGAGTGGCAGGGGGTCCCTTATGCTCATCTTGCTTGGATTATGGAGAAAGTGCAAGTGGTGAGGAATTTCCATAGCCCTGTAAGGCCTCACCTGGAGAAAGTTCCAAACTCGCCCTGGAGGAGCTGCCTCACCTCTCTGCAGGCCAGTGTTGCCCCCTCACTGTCCTCACCAGCATACTTATAGAATGTCTCAGTTACACAGAGGACATCTCTCAGGAGCAGAGGCATCTTTACAAACTCAGGAGAGACTGTGGGAAAGAATAAACAAGGCTTGTTTCCCCAATGCGTCCTTCAGGAAGGAGATACCAAAATCATCCTTCTTTTTATTCCTCTTTCAGATCTGTTCACATACCCCTACTTTATTCTGCATCTCAAAATATCATATATGATCTCCAGGGGTGATTTAGTTTTGCACCAGGCATTGCGTTGAGATCAGGTCTAGCACAGGTAGTATTAGAAGAGACATCCTGCCCCACCCTGCAGTAAACAGTAACTCTCACATGTTCAGAGACAGTTTTATTGCAAAAGGAGGGTGAGAGAAGAACTCAAGCCAACATTTTGAAATGTGTGAATGAAGGCAATGTGGGAAGGGTGCGGGGGTGGGGGGTGTCAGTTCTTCGAATCCTGTCTGAGAGTGCCCACTTGCTCTCCTCTCAGCTCTATCCAGCCTCCTCTGCTAGGAAAGTATAACTCTTTTTTTTTTTT